AGGAGGAGGAGGAGGAGGAGGAGGAGGAGGAGGAGGAGGAGGAGGAGGAGGAGGAGGAGCCCAGCTCTGGTACCGTAACGGCTTGTCCCACCGTTCTGTCCTCCCAGGTGAGGACTCTCGCGGATGGTGGTTTGGCAAACTACCTGGTGTTGCGCGGACTAGAATTTTGAGTGGAGGAGTAGGTGCTTGCGCTGCAATTTGGCCAAGGGTGCCTCGCCATCGCCAATTCAGCCTCGGAAGGCGGATGGAAGTTGGGCACAGGGCGTGCCGCCTTCCGTTCGGGTCCCTTGCCCAAGAAGGGCACCCAGGGCGCACCGCAGCAGTACTTTTCAGATGAGCAGGTCGAAACCTATGCGAAGATGGATGTCGACTCCTTCCGTAACGTGGAGCCGCTGCTGGGCCAGTCGGCCAAGCACCGTATCAAGCGGTGCTGCAGCACCGCTTCAGGTGCCCCCACGGTGGTCTCGAAGGGGTCGCAGAAGCAGGTCGTGAAACAGCAGTCCAAACATGACAAAGAAGTGGCCGCCCTCCAGGGTGCGGCTGAGTATCTGTCGGAGTGTGAGACCGAGCTCGAGAAGCTCAGGAGCAAGCGCAAGGAGGTGGCGGACCGAACGGCAGCGTCCATCGCAGCCGTCGGTGGCACCGCGCACTCGGGCAAGTCTGTTGGCGCAGGAGGCGCGGGTGGCGACCCTGGTGCGTTGCTCCTCGAGCGGGCCCAGCAGCTTGGGGTCGCCCGAGCTTGCCGCACGGCTGGCAGCAGTCCTCGCAGAGGTGCAGCAATCCAAGGCGTCAGCCAAGGCCCAGCAGGCCCAGCCGCCGCTGAGGGCGGCAGCGCCTACGGGAGCGCAGCCGCCGTCCCCCGGCCGCCGCGTGCGCCACGGGCGCCGCCGCCGCCGCCGGGGGGGGAGGGGGGGGGCCAGCCGCCGCAGGGCCTGCATCGCCTGCTGCTCGCCCTATCCCTGATGGTTGGTCTGCTGCCAGTGCAGGCGGGCTGCCAGCCGCTGATGCCGAAGCAGCCCAGTGGGCTGAGAGGCATCGTGGACGGCTCTGGGCAGCAATGGCAATCGCAGTCGCAGGCGAGGACGGCGACATGGAGCTTCCAGAGAAAACCAAAAGTACCAATAATCGAACAATTTCAGTGGTGGGGGAAGCCATTCGGGCCATCAAGTAGCCTAGGGCTGAGCCCACATACGTTCTCCCCACGTTGGGGCAGCAGCAGGAGGAGTCAATTTCTTACAGCCAGCGTTGCCAGTCAGTCCGGTTGGGAAATTTGTCGCTGATCGGACGTGCTGGGCTCACGCGATGCCATTTTCACGCAGGAAATTAAAGTTGGTTTTCAGCAGGACTCATACGAGCAGACGATGAGAAATAGTGGTTGGGCAGCAACGGTCAATCCTGCCTTGCAGCCTGCTGGTCGAGAGTCGGTTGCACGCAACGTGGCAGTCTCAGTGGCGGTGTCATGATTGCTGCGCAGAGCAGGTATGGGCGCAGCGACGTTTTTCACGTGCTGCTAGTTGCGTGCGATGGGCGTGCCAGTTTGCTTCGCCTCGCCCATGGAGTCAAAGGAGGTAACATTTTCGGCACCGTGTATTAGCTTGATTGTTAAGGCTTTTGAGACATGGGCAGATGCATCAATAATGCAGGTTTACCTTTCGCCCTGCCCGCTGACTGGCAGGTCGCGCCGCGGGAGTTTGAGGCGTCAGGGTGGGCCGATGGCGTCGGGGGAGAAGGCGTCGCTCCTGGGCGTGGCGCTGCCGGGCCCTCCGAGAGAGTCATCGACTTCTTCGTGGTTCGCAAGTTTGTGGCGTCCTACGCAGTGTGTACCGTCGTTGGGGATGTCGCGATCCGCCCGCGTCGGCCTCTGCTGCTCGCCCTCGATGTGCCACGGCGTGCGCCGGTGGCGCGAGTTGTGATGGTGCTAGAGAAGTTCCCCAAAGACAGGCCCGTCGGCCGTGGGAAGTTTTTCGTTTAGCCACAATGGCAGGCAAAGGTGTGGGCTGCATCCGGCAGCAATTTAGCAGAGTGGCGGGGGGAGCTGGATTAAAATTCTGTTTTTTTCTCAGCAAGATGCAATCAAAGACCAAGGGCGGGGTCAGGGGCTGCAGCGGAAGTTCCTTCGACGTCCGCGTGCATGTGCAGTGCCCTTTCCAGTCATCAACTCAGACGCAGTCTGGTGGAAGTCATTCAATCAAGCATTGTGCGACATTGAAGTCATCGAAGTTGGCTGGGCAATGTCTATGCGACGACAACGGCTTCTCAGACTCTGTCGCTCTGAGGCAGTGCCGCGCCGCTGCCAGCTCGCAGTCGCATTCTGCCGCCTCTTGCAAGATTGCCGCCTCTTGCGAGAAGCAGCTCAGGGTGCTCGAGGCTTTTGCTCAGAGGCAGGCTGAGCAGGCTGTTCAGACCAGCCAGCGAGCCACATAACATTACTTTGCATGGGGCCTCTGCGTTGTTCAGCCTTGCAAAAGCCCCGCTGGATTTCCATAGGTCACGGCGGCGCGCGTGCGCATGGGCGCGGCAGAGCATATTGAGTAGCTGCAGAAGCATTTTGGGGCCTGGTGGTGCGTTTCGGAGGCTCACCCTTCGCCCTCGCTTGTTTGGTCAGATCTTTCCGCCGAAGGTGCGCCTCCCAAGCGCTCCGAGGAACACTTCGCACAAGTTTTGAAGACTTTCAAGCCCAGCGCAGGGCAATGATGTGACCGTGCAGTTTGTACTGTTCGGCCCTGACGGGCTCGGGGTGTTGTGCGAGTTGGGGCGCAAGCATCTTGGCGGTCTCGGGCCGATGGCTCTCCTGCGTGCGCTGGCCCGCATTTTCTGTCGTGTCCGTCGCGGTGAGATCGCTGAATGGCAGAGTAAGAACTTTCGGCCTTCCTCGTGTGGGGCGCGTGGCAAAGGGGGGGGTGTTCATGGGTGCAGGTGGCGTGGGCCGAGTGGGCGCATGGGCAGTGCCTATGCTCGGGCACAAGCTTGGTCGCCTTAAAGGAAGCGTTCGAACTAGTGCGTCGCCGCCATCTCATCGCTGCGTCTGCTGCAGCTGTTAGCGACGGCGCACAGGCGCCCGCGCATGGGTGTTGCCGTTGGTGGCGGGTATGTGCGCATCCGCATTGTGCGAGCGGGGTGTGCTGCCTGTTTGTGTATTTGCCACGGTGATGTTGGAATGGATCCCCTTTCGGCCGCTGGGCGAGGTTGGGCAGATTGGGCCGTCTGTTTTGTTGGCCGCGGTCGTCGGTGACATCGGCGTTCAGCGGTTCTGGCGCCGAGCGCAGGAGGCCCTCGCCAGAGCAGGCGCGGCTTGAAAGCAGCAGCTTAGTGTGACTTTGTTTTGGCAGCAGGCGAGGCCAGTTTTCTGGGCGGTGCGGCCGCTTTGCGCAAGCAGCTGGCATCAGAGCTCGTCTATCTAGGTGGCTGCTCCTCGCGGTCCGAAAGCAACCTGGGGGGGGGGGGGGGGGGGGGGTGCAGGTGGTGGTGGGGGCGGGGGGGGGGGGGGGGGGGGGGGGGGGATTTCGGATCGGGTCTCTGGTTGGGGAGGGCCGCGAAGCGTGATGGGCTGAAGACTGCCGTGGCCTGAGGGCACTGCATGCACGTGCTTCAGGAAACTAAGGTCGCAAGGCTATGGTTCGCATTGCCAGGGCCGCAGTTGAGGCGCGCGCGTGTGTGTGTGTGTGTGTGTGTGTGTGTGTGTGTGTGTGTGTGTGTGTGTGTGTGTGTGTGTGTGTGCGTGTGTGTGTGTGTGTGTGTGTGTGTGTGTGTGTGTGTGTGCGTGTGTGTGTGTGTGTGTGCGTGTGTGCGTGTGTGGTGCGTGCGTGCGTGCGTGCGTGCGTGCGTGCGTGCGTGCGCGCGCGCGTGCGTGCGTGCGTGCGTGCGGGCGTGCGTGCGTGTGTGTGTGTGTGTGTTATGGCAGCAGCGTCGTTGGCGCTAACAATGAAGAGTTGCGAAGGCTTCGGCAGTTGGTTGCCAACCAGGGCCCTTCGCCTTCTCGTCTGCCCTGGCATGCGTGTTGATCCCATCTATAAGGCATCGGTCGAGCCGCCCTGTGCGATAATTGCCGCGTGGCAAAATCGATGGCTCTCCAGGCGCGCGGTTCAGTTTGGGGGGTGGCGTGGGGGGCGGGGGGGGGGGCAAGTGGGCAGCGCGGCGTTCCGGGGTAGAAGTGCCAGCGCCCCGTGCGAGAGAGCGACCCGCGTTCATGATTTGTTGGTCAGTCGCGCTTGCCATAAAGGATTGGCATCGATCGCGATATTCTTCGATGTTGCCAAATTCAGTGAGAATGTCTCACATGCTGAACTTCGTCGGGTGGCTCGTCATTCTGGTCTCGAGTTCGGGCTCTTGCAGGCTCTATGTGCCCTTTCCGGGCTCCTCGACATGCGCGGTGGGGTGTGGGCACCAGCGAGCAACTGGTGGCGAATATCGCAGTCATCGCGGGCTGCTCGTGCGCGACTGGGATTTCCAAGTTCTTGCTTCCGTCTGTTTTTTGGGAGCTTGCCCGAGAGGTGCCCCCATGCAGGTCCATCGATGTGATTGACGACTTGACGAGTCACCACATCGGGGGCCCAGAGACGGCGGTCAGAGTTGCGGGGGCGACTGTGAGGTGATCCATAAGGGAATGTTTGAGTTCGAGGAGGCTGAGTCTGGGGACTTTCTATTTCCGGTCCCGAGGATCCCAGAGGCGCAGGGTTTCTGCCGAGGCCAGCGCGTTCTAGCTCATCGTGGCCTCGGTGGGGTACTGTCAAATTGGCTTCCCGCCTAGCCATGTTCGGCTCAAGCAACGCCGTGGCCAGAGTATTCAGGGCGGCGCCCCTGGCCAAATCCAACTGGTGCTGCCGACTTCGGAGTTCCCGATGCTGCACTTCGACGTGTGCGTATTTTGGCGGTTAAAGCAGCTTGAGGAGCCCCCCAAAGGGGCCAGTGTTGGTTTCATATGTTTTGCGAGCCCATCGGCTTGGAGGAGAGACCCAGTGGCTGTTGACGCGGCCGTTGCCATCAAAGAGTGTGTTCACGTCATGTGGGCCAAGTCGGCCAGCTCGGAGGGCGTCGAGAGTAGTTTCGAGGGCGCCGACAGTGGCCTCTTTGACCTGGCCTTGGGCGGCGGTCGCGCAGCCCATCGCAGCGCTGGTCCTATCCCTGGCGCGCACTACTTGGAGGGGGGACTTCGGTGGCCAGGTGGTCGTAGACGACCTCGGCACGTCTAGGTCGTTTCTGATTATCGCCGGCGTTCCCGAGTCATCTGGTTCAGGCAGGCGCGCGTCTAACGATCGGGGGGGGGGCGAGCAGTGCCGCCCGATTTTTTCAACTGCTGAAGCGGCCCGATTTTGTTGGGCTCGATCTACGAGATGCTGTGCCAGCAGAAAAGCCCAGGCTGGCATGGCCATCAGAAAGCGCCCTGAAGGCGATGATTGCCGACGTGTGCTGTGCGCAGGAGCGTATTCCCTCTTATGCTAGTGGTGTCAGTAGTCGTTGCTGGCAGTGTTGTGGCGCGGTGGGCGCCACCTACCGCGGGAGTTTCTATTGTCCAGCCCACCAAATTCGGAGGCGAAGTGATGGCGCAGGGGTGGCGCAGGGATGGGCTGATACTGCAGTCGGACGCTCGCGTTTCCTTGGGCGGTTGTGGGTGTGATGTGATATCGCCTTCGCTGTGTGCGTTGCAGGATGGGAAGCTGTGGTGGGCGACCTGCATGGTGAGGTGGCGTCGGCCTTGTGCGGGGTGGTTCCGCTGAGCGAGGGGCCCGACCAGGTCGCCAGGGACGGCGGGGAATTTGCGGCGCTCGTGCTGTCCAGGAGTGCTGCCGTGGCGCCTGGCGTTCCAGTTCGTGCTGACTGTGCTGGCACCTCGAGCTGCGCAGAGCGGCTCGGGCGTGGCGCCTGGGCCGACGAGCGGCTGGCCCAGAGGTGGTCCGAGATCGGCGATCGGTTGCAGGGGGCTGTGTGTTGTGAAGGTCGGCTCTCGTCTCCCATGCTATGCCGCGCGGGGCGGCAGGGTCCCCCCCCCCCGAGGTTCACGAGGCAGCCCAGAGAACGATGGCTTAGCAAAGCTCGGGGCCCAGCCATGTCGAGCGTCAGGCGCGGGCCCTCTTCCCATTGGAGGTTGTCGCGAGCTGGCCAAACGAGTTGCCGAGTTCGGAGGACTGCAGCAGGCGATGCTGTCCACCTCTGACGTCCACGACCACGTGGGCATCGAGTCCTTGAGTAGATTGGAGTTCGGGGTTATTTCTGGTCTCCCCACTCCGTCTTGTAGGACCCTGGCGCCCGAGGCCGAAGACAGAGGACGGGGGGCCCACCAGAAAGTTGATGAGCTTGTTCCTCGCCCGTGGTCTTGGAGCGCACATGCTCTGAGACGCGTGGAGGCCTTGGAGGATGCATGGAGTACAGGCCAGCATCGATGACCTGCCGCGCGAGTTCCATCAGCAGCGGGCCGTGGGAGAACAGACGTCCTGCCAGCAGTCGGTACCAGCTCCTGAGGCCCTGCAGGGCCAAGGCGGTCGCGGGTGCTAAGGGGCTCCGCCTGGATGCCCCAGGGCCTGCAACCTCTCCCCAGGTCCAAGCCTCTTGTCCGTCACGGGAGCGGCGCGGCCTGGGCGCCCCCTTTGTGGGGGGACGCCAGCTTCCCTTGCGGGAGGCCTCGCAGGAGGCGGGTCGGAGTGGGGGCCCCGTCGCGCGTGTGCCTCAGTCGAGTATGAAGTCTCTAGCAGGGGAGGCACTCCAGGCACCGACTTTTCACGGGGCTGGCGCCTCGTGGGCTCACGCCCTCGGCACCCAGGCACTCGACCGCGCCAGGGCCTCGGTGGGCCCGCGTCGCTCTTTCTGGCGGCTGCCCGACGCCTCCCTCGCGCTTGGTTTTCGTAACCCGTCCTGCATGTGAGTGGACTGAGGAACGACGGGGCGAGGAGTGAGGAGGAGGAGGAGGAGGAGGAGGAGGAGGAGGAGGA